TTTGAGATTTCATCCCTGAACAAAAGGTGACCGCCAGACCGAAAGTTGACAAATACCAGAACCTCAAAAGATCTAAATATAGCGCGGCAACCGTGNCTTCTATGGCTTCTTGTCAGTCCCTATCACTTGCTTCTAGGTTCAGTGGGCCAGGAGTTATGAGTTTTAGGTCAGACAAACACACACACACATACTGACACACACACAAACCCACCAACAGACACACTTAGCCGATTATATAAGTAGGATATTACTTCTCCACCGAGCTTACGTGTTATTTCACGTGAATCCTTATCGTGCCTACGTGGCGGACGCACAAACGGGCATACAAACAGACACACAAAGTTAGCGGTTTATATATATTATGGATGTAACTGCCTTCCAGGTAACTACCAAGGTCATCGCGGATGATAGGGCTTCTGAAACTGCGAGTATCATGGATGGTGTTGATAGACGTGACCAAGTCGGACAGTCTTACATCTTGCTCATCCACTTCCCTTCAACTCGCTCTGATGTAAAGCTCTTCAGCCACTCTCTTGGGGCCAGTTTTAGCGCTGAACCCCCGCCGACTACCTTGAAGAAAATATGATCCTTGCCGTAAGTTTTCCATGTTCCCATGGAGCGATTTCAGCTCTTCTTTTTCGTAGCTTGAGGCAACGAAGTTTAATAGAATAGGGTTGAGCCATATTTCCCTAATCGTAATTGCGTTGTCCAGCTTTCAAACAAATTGTCGTTCGTGACCACGTCTTTGCCGTAGCATAATGCAAAGAGTAGTAGTTTATTCCCAAACGCAAAAAGGACAATGCCTCCCGTCTCTTCCAGTCAAATTTGCGTCGTAATCTTCTTCTTGGTCCGCATCATCAGATATTCAATACTGCTTCCATTTCAAGCGTTGCTGCACTGAAAGCACGAAGCGCCATCTCAGTTCTCTTCAATTTAAATAATCTGTCGGGTTGTTTTCCTAATTTTATAACAGCCTCTCCCAAAAAGACTTATCAAACGCTGGGTGTTGAGGGCTGACTCAGGTTCACTAGAATGAAGTCCATCGACATTCTGCTTTTGGTAAGTGGGCACCCTCTGGTAGCTTATTAATCTCTGACGTGAGGACTGGGTCGACTCCAGGCCAGGTAGCTAGCCAAGCTCTCAGAATGGTCAAAGGATTGTTCATCGGAAAAAGCCTCGAATCCTCCCCAAGCTTCTACCTAGTCACTGCAAGCTTTTCGTTGTGCAGTATACCAACAGCACCAGACTCAGTACACACGCATGCATGGATACACCTAGAAAACAGCAGAATTAGGGAGCTCTTCTACCCAAACCTATCTGTCCGCGCTTTGCTCCCCCTTCCATCACATGGGGTCGCGCCCCGTAGCTTCGTCATCAACTGGATGAGAATCTTTCAGTGAGGGAGACTAAAAGCACTGAATTGTACATCAGCTGGCTACCGCGATTAGCTGTAAAGGCTATCTACGCTGATAGCAAAGGGGATCTCTGAGACGCGTAGATAGCCTTTACAGTTAATCGCGGTAGCCAGCCGATGTACAAGTCAGTGCTTTTAGCCCGATGTACGAATTCCATAAACGTCGACATGATTGTTGCTTGTTTTAGTTTGTAATTTGAACTTTCACGAGGTTGTTATTGATTCCCTTATTAAGCTAAGGTTTTGACGACATTCCACCTTCAAAGGTTCAAGTGCAGCACGAAGTTGTTTTCATTCTTCGCAAACTCTGAAGAAGGGATGCGGCCAGAACGTTGGAATAATAAAGTTTTCGATAAAAATCTCGCGGTAGCTCAAGATATAAACGACATCCCGGATCAATGTTTTCATCCTCTCAAAAGTTGGGTATCAACCAAGGGTCCCCCGGAAGAGTTAGAATTAGGTTGAATCAGGGAGGCACCCATTTGAGATTTCATCCCTGAACAAAAGGTGACCGCCAGAGCGAAAGTTGACAAATACCAGAACCTCAAAGATCTAAATATAGCGCGGCAACCGTGCTGACGCACCATGGTCCGGAATCCATCTTCCCAGTGATGTTTGAGAACATTCCTAGAACTATTCCCGTTGACTAAATGCAGAACCTTGCCTCTGTGTGCATTTTCGGCACAAACTCTTGTGATAAGCACAGTGCTCGCACTTGTCAACGATTTAGCCCACAAAGTAATCAGGCCTTAGCAGTGTGTCACCGTAAGTGGAATAACCCCACAAAATAGTCTTCAGAAACATGGGGAATATGGTACCTTGAGAGCATCGTCCGTAATTCACAAAAAAAAAAATAAGAAATCTCATACAATAGCAGTTACGGTCCTAACTTTTTGAAAGATCCTCTTTCGTTTTGAAATCCAGTAGTGGAACGGATGCTCCTGCATCCGTCATATTTCATCAACAGCTCGGGAATGATCTATAATATCTATTTTGAGCTGAGAATTGTAAGTTTGCATCTAATCACTGCGGAGGAGCCAAGGAAGGATAAAGAAGCAAGGAGAAGGCAAATCTTGTATTTTCAAAAAGCCCTACAATTTCAAGGGAGCAACTTTACGAAAAGATGGAAGGATCTGATGGTTCTTGCATTCCGACGCCTTTTTTCAACTGTTACACCTCCAATCAGCAACAATCCCTTCATATTCCACATCTCTCACATCGACTGTAAAAGTGTCAAGGTCTCACTGTTAGCATGAAGGGACACAATGGTTCTAACCTTCTGTGGGCTCTTATTAGACTCAGTCTGTTATCAACGGGTGCGCATCGTTCCGCGCGTCCGTTAAAACTAGATCACGTCGCAGTCGTCGGGCGCGGCGCGTCAGCCTGCGATCCTTGACAGACGTCGCATTTGTCAGTGGAGCATATTATTTGACTTGGTCCGGGGCAATCAGCTTAAAGACATGATAACATGCACTAGGGCAAATCTTCCGCTTTGTTGGCATTTAGTGATACTGTAATGTCACCTCGAGATTGCAGTGGGAGGCGCCGCGCGGAACGGGGTGGGGCGACCTAGTTACAACGGGTGGAACGGACGGCCTCCGTTATTGGCCATCTCCATCACGCAACGTCAGCCTTTCTACCTTATTGCCGTATGTATCCTTTTCAGATGTGAAGGAGGTGGGCAAAGGGTCGGACGCATACACAACACAAACACACACAAACACATACACACTCATACGCACACAAAAAACCCACAGACACCAGAAGCACATTTGGGTGAGACTGTGTGACTTCTCACCGAATTTCCACAGGCAGAGGCAGTGGTTTCGCAGAGACTGCCGTATCCTTCCACTGGGAACTCGAATCTTTCCCTTCATAGCGCTCTATTAATTCGACCTGCGCGACGCGCCGTTTGGGAAGATGGTACCAAACCTGGCACACTTAGTCGTCATATGTAGTATTACTCTACTTTTTTCTATTACTTTCTTTTGAAGTCTCATATCCCTAAAAATCCATCTGTTTTCACTCTTACTTTGAATCTTTACATCATACCTTTCGTTATTTCACTTGAAGCGCGCACCACAAAGTTACCGTTAACTGTGCTTTTGATCGAAGCTAGCCTTCAATGACCGAAATTCGGTATAACCAGTGTAGTCATCCGAAAAGCCTCGGTGCAGTTCGAGATAATCGAAGGATGGCCAAGAGTATTATGAGCCCATGCAAACTAAGCGAAGCTCCGAGGTGGAGCATGCACCGAANACCTCCGAAAAAATATAATACATAAACAGAGAAGAAAAGCGAATCCGAAACTAGAGACCAGAAAAAATTGATAGAATTGGCAGGGCTTGGAGTATGCTATTGGAGTGTGCTGCCCGTATCGAGTGAGTGTCGATGAACAGAAGATGCTCATGGTCGGCACGAAAATTAGCAGCTCGGTTTGAAGGCATTTTAGAACACAAAGAAGTGGGTGGAGGTTTGCAAAGAAAAGAATGGGAGATCAACTTTTATCGTAGACAGGAAGTGCAC